TGCCACATCCTCCACTATGACACTCTTCTCCTCCCCATCCTCGTCCAACTAACAACTGCTGCTGCTGCTGCTGCTGCTGCTGCTGCTGCTGCTGCTGCGGCTGCTGCGGCTGCTGCGGCTGCTGCTGCTGCTGCTGCTGCTGTTGCTGTAGTTGTAGTTGTAGTTGTAGTTGTAGTTGTAGTTGTAGTTGTTGTAGTTGTTGTAGTTGTTGTTGTTGTAGTTGTAGTTGTAGTAGTTGTAGTTGTAGTTGTAGTTGTAGTTGTTGTAGTTGTAGTTGTAGTTGTAGTTGCAGTTTATTGTTGTTGTTGTTGTTGTTGTGGTTGTTGTTGCTGTTGCTGCTGTTGCTGCTGTTGTTGTTGTTGGTGGTGGTGGTGGTGGCGGCGGCGGTCTTCATGCTGTTGATGATGTTGCTGTTGCTGTTGTTGTCGTTGTCGTCGTTGGCGGTATCCGTCGTCGTCGTCGTCGTCGTCGTCGTCGTCGACGTCGTCGTCGTCGTCGTCGTCGTCGTCGCTGTCGTTGTTGTCGCTATTGTCGTTGTTGTCATTGTTGTGACTGTTGTGGTTGTTGTGGTTGTTGTTGTTGTCGTAGCCACACCTAGGTTGGCGTGAACCCAAGCTGACACCAGATTCAGACTTGGCGCATTAGAAACATGATCTGCATCCAACCCTTCCATTCGTCTGTTTGCTCCCGCGACAAGGGAGCAGAGTCCTTGCCTTTGCGGACTGTAAACAAAGCTGCCACCACGATCGCGGCCCAAACAGCCCAGAATTGGCGGGGATCTCGAACTTTCCCGGCTTCTGGCAGCACTTCCGTACGATCGCAAAGATACAGAAGTCCCAGGATTACCTCTCAGGGCAACGGTTCAGATCCCTGAACCCGAAACATCGATTCCCCGAACCCAACCGCAAGGATATCCAAGGACGAGTTGCAGACATTTCGGCCCCGGCTCGTAGGACCGACTGGTGACTCCTCAACCAGACCTAGGGACTCAGGCCCAGAGGTCATGAGATCCGTAAGGTCATAAAATGTATGCAGGGCTTTGAACTGAATGCCTAGTGGCTCAGGACCTACAGACCGGATAGTAGGCGGCTTGCTTAGACTAGACAGTTCCCAAACCCGAAGCTTCTCTCGCTCCAGGCTCAGAGGGAGTTACACAGGGCTGGAGAACCGAGTCACGGAAATGCGCACTTCAGCCACATTGTACGTAACAGGCAAATATTTCTGAATTCAGCCTGTGGTGCCGGAAGAAGGTCCTGGTCGGGAAGACCCTGGCACAGGATTCATTGGGAACGCCAGCGAGTAAGCCATGGTAAGTCGTCTTGAAGCAAGAATGCCTTGCTACATGCTTAACAAAACGCATGGGCTGCAGTGATGACGGGAGCCGAGTTGCGTCTTTCCTAGATCGCCGTCTCTCACCTACCCTGCTGTGTTGGCCGTGCACAATCCAGTGCTGGTCGGGTTTTGTGCGGGAAAAACTCGCCTCTTCCACACTGACAGCTCAAAAACACACACAGAAAAACGGCGAAAAGCGCTTTGAGGCCTTCGCCATGGAGGCCTCCTCGAGGTTGGCCTGCTCCACATCTTTCTCGTCTCCGGCGTTGATCTGGGAAAATGGGGTTTTGTCAATGTTCAGAATGGACTTAGCTTGTGGAAACCCTTGCTTTGCAACCCTTCCTAGGAAAGCCCACCAGCTCAGATTTTGACGAAAGGCAGGCAGAGAGAGAGAGAGAGAGAGAGAGAGAGAGAGAGAGAGCGAGATACATAGTTACCTATATATATATATATATATATAGATTCTTTATTTCTTCCTTCATTCATTTATTTATTTATATTTGTATTTAAAGTTATATGTAGACTTATACATTTATTTATATTTATATTGGTATTTATTTATAGGGATCATATTCTATACATAGATAGAGAGACAGTGAGACAGAGAGAGAGTGAGAGAGCGAGAGAGGGAGGGAGGGAGGGAGAGAGAGAGAGGGAGGGAGGGAGGGAGGGAGAGAGAGAGAGAGAGTGACTGTTAGCAGGTTGGACGCATGAGAAAGCAGGCCTGCCGCCTGCGAATTAGCATGAAGTAGCATCTAGAAAAAAGAAGCTACAACAACCACGAGGCTGTGCATGCGTGCTTCCGCTACTGTAGGATGTGACAATTGGCTGTCTCCAAGAGCAGACCATACCGAGATATACCGAGCCTCTGTCATAAGTCATATGCTGAAGTTAAGAGTGGAAAGCATGCGTGCGTCGTGGCAGTCTGATTGTGATGAGTTCCGCGCATCAAGATTGCAATGCCAAAGCCGACACCTGGTCAGCGTCTGCCACTCCGACACGTTCTGCCGGGGGCTCGCATGGATCGTTCTGAGCTGCGACATCCTCAATTCATGAACAGAAATGGTTGCGTCTGTCCGGCACTACTGTGCCGCCGCTTGCTGCCGAGCGACGTACCCTTCCGCCGTCGGATGCTGCCGCAAGTAGGAGGATGCCTGAAGTCTGCAGCTTAGGGCTGGTGGAGTCCAAACCCACGAAAGTCTGCGAGCTGCCTCCGCCGCTGCCCAAGTGGCCAGAACCAAGCTGCAGAAAAGGGCCGCGGCGATCTGCAGCTGGCTGTGGCTGCCGTACCTACAGAAAGACAAGACAGAGCGGCTCTCGCAAACTCTGCCTGGCCATCCTGGCCCTGCCATGCCTGGCCTGTGTAGGGAACCCAGGAAGAAGCAGCAGGTGAGGCTCAGGGCCAAGGACGCGAGCCAGAGAACCCCCAAGCGCACAAACATCACGAGAAGTTCCGTGGAGCTCGAGCCGACTCGAGCCGATACGGGCGGAAAGCCTTCCCTGGACTCGCTCTGTTGAAGTAAGCTGGACAAAAAGCCCAGGGCCCTTGCCCACGGAGACTGAAAACGCATCAGGCGACAGGCACCTTGCCCAAATCGGATCATTTGTCGACTTAAGATCGCCTGGCGACCCGAACCACTCAGTCCAGGAGCCTTCTCGCACGGCTGCCACTGAAAACCTGGTGTCATCGGAAGGTCCGTGATGCACCAGAGTTCGATCTTAGTTCAGAGAAACGGTGAAGCCACTGTGCCTTGAAGCTGCACTTCCATCTTCTTCAGGCAACACCTGCGTGCACGAGGCTCTCGCAGTTGACAGCCGAGTCCCTGCATGCAATATGCATACACAGAGCGTCTCTCCATGCCAACTCAGTGGGCCCTTACAAGCTGCACCTGAACCAAACTCATCCTGTCAATCTGGGACTCGCTCAAGGCATCCTGCAAGACCGACAGACGAAAAGCCGCGCAAGAGGAACGTTGCAAATCCAAGTCTCCTGAAGCTTCCCTGGTTCAGGAATGAGGGGCTGCCTAGCCTCCACGAACTCACACGACGAATCGAGAGTGCAGGAAACCTGCACACACCGTGGCCTCAGATCGCGACTTCATCTCCTCCTTGCGAGCTGCTCTACTTGTAGGCTCACCGTCGATGAAGGGTCCCGAAACGCTGGCGCTGGCCTCTGCGCTGCCTTCATTTTCCAGCTGCCACTCATCCCCGCGCCCTTCAGGCTCCGGTTCGGTGGCTGGCTGCTCTAAGGCGCCACCTCGGCTTCAGTCTGCCGACAGCACGAGTCACAGCTCTGACAGTTGAGGTCTGAACAGGAGATGGCTCGCGCAGGCATGGGGACCTAATAGAAAGCTCGGCTGGAACCCATTGAGCCGCAACAGCCAGGGAGCCAGCGAGCGAGCGATTTTAAAATGCAAGGCAAGGCCCAAAAGCGCTACCACAGAGCCCCTCTCCGCTCCCTGGGAGCGGAAGATTCAGATGCCCCCTTGTGGCCCCTTCTGTTTGCTCGCCAGGGCTTCTTCTGTGCACTGGTCTCCCTGAACTTGCATCCCGCACCTCTGCTAAGAAAGCTGCAGAGTCTGGTCACATCCACTTCGGGATGTCTCCAGGGAGTTTTAGTGGGTTTCAGCCGGGTTTCATGTTGTGCCGACAGGGAAGACCCTGCACATAGCATTGGCTACCTCATCGAGCCCTGGCAAAGAGTACTTCGAGCTTGCCGCGTCATCCCGCGTTGCGAATGTCGTCACGAGATTCTTCCGCCGGGGTGTCGTTCGCCTCTCGAAGATAGGCTTATCGCCTTTGTCGTCTACGCAAAGCATCGCAAAGCCCACCGAGAGCAAGTCACTCGTCCAGCAACAAGCAAAGAGCACGTCCATGTTCCTAGTTGCTCAGAGTGTCGGCCCAGTATCCCCTTCGACAGATTCCGGAGCTGCAGTTCGACTAATTGTATCTGCCACGGGTGGAAGCTGTTCCTCCCCCAACTCTGACGGGCTCTTGTGCTCCTGAGGCTGCGCATGCCGGGGCAGCTGCTCGCCTTGTCCAGACAGCTGGGACTCCTGCGACTGTGCCGCTGCTAGCTGCTCGTCTGATTGGTCCTGGTGCAGCTGCTCTTGCTGCGATCTCTGCGCGGGCGGTTCCTTCTGTGCTTGCTGCGCCGCCTCCTGCGGCTGCCGATTTGGCGATTGAGATTTTGGCTTCGGCCGTGGGTCGGGCGGCAGCTGCTGCGGCTGCGGCTGCGGTGGGGTCTGTTGCCGCAGCTGTGGCGGCTGCTGTGGAATCCGCGCGGGCAGCTGCTGCTTCTGCTGCTGCTGCTGCTGTTGCTGCTGCTGTGGCGGCTGCTGTGGAAGCTGCGGGGGCGCCTGCTGCTGCTGCTGCGGCGACTGTGCCGAGGACACACCGGGAAGCGCACGGCAGGGTGCCAGCTTGCGAATCACCTCTGCATGATCTGCCTCAAGCTTTCGCAAACGTGCCTGCGCTTCGGGTTGCTTGCTGAGGAAGGGTCCGAAGTCCCTGGCGAATGCGGCACATGCCTTGAGAGCTGCCTCTGCTGCGAGGGAGGTTTGGCACAAGTGCCTATGCTCTGCAGCATCCAGCACGCTGTTCAGCGGACGGTCCATGACACTCATCAGATCGATTTCAGCTTGGTGCTTCTTCATGATCTCTGCGCATCGGTTCGACTCGTGATCGAGTAGCTGAATGCGTCTCTCCTCGTGTCCTAGATGCTCCAGCAAAACATTCAGCAAGTGGCTGTCAAACTGCACTGCCTTGGAGCTGAGATCGTCGGAAGCCCCAGACAGAGCCCGAACTGCTAGCACCTCTGTCTCAGCAGCAGCTTCTTTCACCTTTCACGGTTGAACGTTGCGCCAAGACTTCGCAACAAGAAAGCAGTGCAGCAACCAGGCCTTCTCTGCAGCTGCCCGCTCCTTCCTGGCAGCTAGGCCTTGCTCCTGAAGGAAGCACAGTCGCTGCTTACAACCGCCTGAGACGAGGGGACGAAGAGAACAGAAGACAATCCCTCCTCCCGTCCCTGCGCCGGCACTCCTCGATCTCCTTGAGGTTCTTACGAAAAGTGGCTTCCACGTCTTCGACAGCTCGGCGATGACCATCTTTTTGCGCAAGCCAATTCCGTTGTCCTTCACGCGCAGCATGGAGCTTTTCGTCGACATTGTGCAGCTGCTGTCGAAGTTGTAGCTTCTTGGTCTCCAGAGACTCAATCTGTGCATCTGAACTTGCCCGCTTCTCATCGACCACGGCGAGGTCTTTGGCAAGAGCATCGTGCGCCTCCCGAAGTTCTTGCTGCAATCGCTGCTGCCGTTGCCCAACACCTGTTCCACTCTGCGGGCATTCACCGACGGTCTGAGTTTAGACAGACTTTCACGATGCACTCCCGCTCAGCACCTTCTCCTTGACTGAAGGAGCTGGCATAGACCTGTAAGGAAGATTGAGGAAGGTAGACTGCATCAAAGTAGCTTTAGGCTGCTACATACTTTCCCTTGCCGCACTGGGTTTTACTACTTCGGACGCTGTACCAGTAATGGTCACTGGCTAATTGGGAGAGTGACATCTTTGCTTGTCTTTTTGGTTGGAAAGTCATCATATTGCACAAGCTGCATAGTTGGCAGCGAATGCACTGACATGACCATGAAGCCGCATTTTTGGGACATGCCACGTGTTGGAAGGAAAACAGCCACTTTGATGGCTACTTTGATGGCTACTGGTAGCTACAGGCCAGAACTGTACAGAACGGCATGGCGAGTCATCATCCTCCACGGGAACATAGGAATGGGCAGTCCCCGAGCACGGCGGTGCTGTACCTCTGCCTGGTCTCCTCTTTTACGATCCCTCTTAAATTTCTGAAACGGACTCCGCCAGGAACCTGGCCGAGTTCTCGTACTCCTCGCTTACTGCCACTCTTTAGCCATAGACTCTGCCACCTGAACACAGAGGCAACTTAAGCCGTGACTAGTCAAGCGTTCGCAGATTGAACTTGGACAAGCCTTTGGACGTGCACTTTTGTCAGAGGACGGCTGAAACTAGGCCGACCCCCACGCCTCCCCAGAGCACCGGGCGAGTTGCCAAGTTTGCACAGGCAACCGAGTCGAGCGAGGAGAAGGCAACGACAGCTGTCGCGTGTAGTGTTCCGTGCATGGGTAGAGCCTAGCCCCTGCAAACCGGCACCACCAAGTTCACCGACATGCTGAGTATTCCAGCCGCTGAGGTGTCCTTGCGAGCTCGTGCATGGCCCAGTCGGGCTCGGCGTGTACGCCCCCCAGGCGCACTCTCTATCACTGGAATACGTCGCTACAGCGACGTATTGCATTTATAGAGAGTGCGCCTGGAGTCACATGTCCCAGTCACTTTCACCGATACCCCACGCCGCGAAGTGGGATGACAGAAATTCAGGGTTTGCAAATTGAGCTTGTGCCTTTGAGCTTAAGCCGCAAAATCCAGGTGTGAACTCTGGGCCCCATGTTGTCCACGATCATTTACGATCTAGACCTTTGAGAAGACTTGGTAAAGGCTACTTACTATCGAACGTCTCCCACTTCAACCTTTGAGAAGACTTGGAAAATGCTATCCTTATTATCGAATGTCTCCCACCTCCAGTGCACACCGAACCGAAACTGCCCAACGGGCCTTGCTCGAAGCTTGAGTCTCTCTTCTTTCTCGGAATCCTTTGCCTCTGAAACCGAGCAAGCCCAGACCTGACACCTCGAGCAGTAAATGGCAACTGGGTCCTTCCACGTTTGGATGACGGCTGGCTGAACATCTCTGCACCAAGGCCGCACCAAAAAACATCGCTGGCCTCGATGTCGTGCAAGATGCTCTGAAGCTTCTGGCTACGTTCCTGCATAGACAGAACACCGAAGAAGCTGAATTGCGAGACACTGTGCCACCCTGAATGCAGATCGGCATACACGCTGCAGATTTGCCAAATACAGCTCCCACCCCACTCCGCCCCCGAGCATGCCTGTGCACTCGCCGTGACCTGGGATTGTGCCTTTGCAGGCTCCGCTCCCCCTTTATGTGACACGCTCAATGGATCCCTTTGCCTCCAGCAGAGCTTGGTGGAGCGCCTGGAAGCGCAGGGAAGAGATCCTTCTTCGATTTCCGGAGGTTTTGAGCAGGATGTGCGAGAGGTTGTTGTATGTGGCATGGGAAGATCGGGAGATCTTCAGGTGGAAGCGACACGACACTTTCTCGACGCTGGAACACTGGGGAGTGCCGATGACTAAACTGCCAAGCCATTTCGAACCCGTCTAGTTCACCTCGGGTGTGCTGCTTCATGCCTAGTGGGGTCGATATGCCAGGAGCGTATCCAACTTCAGGATTCCAGGATGCTCTCCAATCT